TTTTTGGTTTTTTGAGACAGGGTTTCTCTATAGCTTTGGTGCCTGTCCTGGAACTAGCTCTCGTAGACCAAGCTGGCCTCAAACTCACAGAGATCCGCCTGCCTCTGCCTCCTAAGTGCTGGGATTAAAGGCGTGTGCCACTACCACCTGGCAATATATACTTTTTTTTATATTTATTATTTTACTGATGTTAGCTAGAAGGTGGACACTGATGTTTAGCAATTACATATTGTGAAACAATCTGAATTCTTCTACCCACCAAGCACATAATGTTAGACCTAGAAGAGTCTTAGAATTCACCTAATCCAGTTTTCTCATTTTATAAGAAAAGCAGGTCCTGAAAGAAGGTTAAGCAACTCAATCAAATCACGTTAAAGGTATGACAAATGATTAGGGGTTCAGTAAAGACTTGGCTTGACTGGTTTTTGTTTGTTTGTTTGAAACAGGTTTCTCTACACAGTTCTGGCTGTCCTGAAACTCACTAAGTATTCTGGGCTGGCCTTGAACTCAAGGTCAGCCTGCCTCTGTCTCCAGAGTTCGTGAGCCACCAAGCCCCACAGTTGGTTTAATTGTATGCTCAGCAAATGGCAAATTTCCCCCAAGTACCATTTCATTTTATTTATTTTTGGCAGATACTGTACAGTGGTCGTCAGGAATAACTTGCTGCACATCAAACAGGGAGCATCAGAGACAGGTACTAAGTGTGATACTAGATTGAACAGAAAGAATCAAGCGTGCAAACGACTTTAAGCTCAGCACCTCACAGTTGGCTAAGTGCTGGGGGGGGGATGGGCAGGATGGTGAGTGAGCACCTGCCATATTAAAAACGCATGGTCCTGAGGAGAAAGACACTGAACACTGACATAAGGCAATGAAAGAAGTACTAGAGGATTACTAGATGTGAATTACTGGACGTTTAATTGTAAGGCGCGTTTTAGAAGTCATGGGAACCCCGATGTCATAAGCTAGGGGTCAGTGGATATTAGAGCTGTCTGGAATGCTGGTAGTTATGCTCACCGTGGTGAGGGGTGTCTCCGGGCGCTGTCAGTGCCGCTGCACCCCCTACTCACCTTCACAGACCGACGGGGCTCAGCGGCTCGCGGCCCCCGGCTGCGTCTCTGTGCTGGCACGCTCGCCCCGCTTCGGCCGCCTCTGCCGCGCTACACTGCGGAGCCCTTCATCATTCCTCGCTGCGACAGGCAGCCTCCCTCATCAGGGACACCAACCTCTTTTTACAGAACCATAACCCAGGGGGCAGAGGACAAACACCGGGGACGCCCGTTGTACCCAGGGGGCAACAGGCTCCGCCTCCACCCGCTTTCGAGGGCAGAGTTTGGACGGTTGGGATTATGGGAAATGTAGTTCTACAGCAGGTGCGGCGCGGGGGAGGGAGGGGTTGGGGCCTCCAGAGGAGTTGCAGCACCGAATGATGGGTTCGTGACTCGACTGTGTATGTGATTTGGAGAGCACCCGCCCTCGATAAATTGTTCTAGACGGAGGAAGATTAGGCTGTTTGCCCCTGTGGTACACCTGCACTGTCAGTAGGCTTCTTTTTTTCTTTCTGCTAGCCTTTTGGGTTGGTTGGAAGTTTGTTAGGTTTTTTTTTTTTTTTTTTTTTTTTTTTTTTTTTTTTTTTTTTTTTTTTTTTTTTTTTTTTTTTTTTTTTTTTTTGACACGCATCATCTCGCTTAGCCCAGGCTGGCCTTACACTCACTATCTAGTAGAGGAGGACATTGAGTTGCAGGCCTCTGCCTCCATCTAACAGTCCTTCGTCACTTTTTTAGAGGTTGCTGGGGATAGAAAGCCAAGGGCTTGAGCATGCTAGGCAAACACTCTCGGAGCTCTGTCAACTGTGCTACATCCCATGCCAGCAGCAACAACAGTCAGCGCTGCACATGGCCAGGCACTGGAATGGGGAGGAAAAAATGAGAGGTCTGTGGCTTTAAGTTCAATCATGGGCGGAACTAAACAAGCTCCCCTCCCACCTGGTATAGCAATTTCTTGATTATTTTTTAACAGCCCCCCCCCCCTTCTACTTTATGTGAATGGATGTTTTGCCTGCTTGTATATCTTTACACCGGGTGTGTGCCGTGCTCGTGAGGACTAGAAAAGGTTGTTCTGGGGTCATGGCGGCGGCGCAGGGCTTTAATTCCAGCATTTAGGAGGCAGAGACAGGTGGATCTGAATTCAAGGCCAGCCTGGTCTACAGACCTAATTCGGGACGGGACAGCCGTGGCTACACAAAGAAAAACAAACAAGCAAACAAACAAACAAGCAAATAGTAGCAGATGGAGGAGGAGGAGGAGGAGGAGGAGGAGGAGGAGGAGGAGGAGGAGGAGGAGGAGGAGGAGGAGAGAAGAGAGAAGAAGAAGAAGGTGGTTGTTCCTGAAATACAGTGTGAGCTGCCAGGTGGCAGGTGGGCTGGGACTCAATCCCTCTGATCCTCTGCAAGAATAAGGGCTCTTACCTGGCAGTGGTGGCACACAGCTTTAATCCCAGCTCTGTGAGTTTGAGGCCAGCCTGGCCTACAAGAGTTAGTTACAGGACAGGCCCCAAAGGCTATAGAGAAACCCTGTCTTGAAAAACCAAAAATGAAAACATAAAAAAATAAAAATATAAAAATAAGGGCTCTTCACCACTGTGTCAATTCCCAAGCCCTTATTTATCTATGTATTTATCTATGTATTTAGTTATGTATTTATTTAGACTTTACGTGCGTGGGTGTTTTGCCTGAACGTATGTATACCTTTACGCCAGTTGTGAGCCAAGTATGTTCCCAGGATTGAACCTGGGTTTTCCGAAAGAGCAGTCAGTGCTCTTATCAATTTATTCATTGCTGGGTGATAGTGGCACACACTTTTTTTGTTGTTGTTGTTATTTTCGAGACAGGGTTTCTCCGTAGCTTTTGGTTCCTGTCCTGGAACTAGCTCTTCTAGACCAGGCTGGCCTCGAACTCCCAGAGATCCGCCTGCCTCTGCCTCCCAAGTGCTGGGATTAAAGGCGTGCACCACCACCGCCCAGCGTGGCACAAACTTTTAATTCCAGCACTTAGGAGTCAGAGGCAAGTGGATCTCTGTGAGTTCGAGGCAAGCCTCGACTACAGAATTCCAGGACAGCCAGAGCTACACAGAGGAACCCTGTCAAAAAAAAAAAAAAAAAAAAAAAAAAAGTTATTCATTTTCAAGTTCCCTCTCGATTGTTTTTTAGAAACAAATAAAAACTTCTTGAGTTGAAAATCCTACTTTAGACAAGATACTACTACTCTATATAGTCAGAATACTGGTAAATAATAAATCTGGTGGCTGGAGAGATGCTCAACAGATAAGAGCACTGGTTGTTCTTCCAGAGGACCTGAGTTCTATTCCCAGCATAAACATGATGGCTCACGACTGTAACTCCAGTTCCAGGGCATCTGATGTCCTCTTCTGGCCCCAGTGGGCACTAGGCACATATGTGGTGCACAGACATACATGTGCACAAAATACCTATACACATAAAATAATAAAATAATAATTTTTTATTAATTATTATTATTATTTGGTTTTTTTGACACAGGGTTTCTCTGTGGTTTTGGAACCTGTCCTGGAACTAGCTCTTTTAGACCAGGCTGGTCTCGAACTCACAGAGATCCGCCTGCCTCTGCCTCCCAAGTGCTGGGATTAAAGGCGTGCACCACCACCACCTGGCTTTTTTTTTTTTTTTGGTAAAATAATAATTTTTAAAGTAGTAAATGTGGAACTATATGCTGACTCAGTAGCTAAGAGCACTTGTTACTCTCTCTTTTTTTTTTTTTTTTTTTTGATTTTCGAGACAGGGTTTCTCTGTAGCTTTTTTGGTTCCTGTTCTGGAGCTAGCTCTTGTAGACCAGGCTGGCCTCAAACTCACAGAGATCCGCCTGCCTCTGTCTCTCGAGTGCTGGGATTAAAGGCGTGCGCCACCACCGCCCGGCAACTTGTTACTCTTGATGGGGACCTGGGTTCAGTTTCCAGCACCCACATGGTGGTGACGATCATCTGACACAAGGGATTCAATGCCCTCTTTTGACCTCTATGGCACCAGGCACACATGTGGTGGATATACATATAGGCAGACAAAATGCTTTTAGATGTAAAATAAAACATATTTTAAAAAATAGTATATGAGTGTAGAATGAATAATAAAAACCCAGAAACAGAAACTGGGGTTCACCTTGAAAACAAAGCAGCCAAGCCACTAGAGAAGTCTTACCCCTACCAAGGCCAGGCAACCATAAACTAAGCAGACAGACTCGGTCTCCTTTCATTTCATATTCCCCTCTAGTGCTGGGATTAAGGGTGCACAGTGGTTCCTTAGTGATGGGATTAAAGGTGTGAGCCGCCACCACCTGGATTTATTTCTGCTTTGATCTTGTGTAGCCCAGGGTGACCTTGAACTCACAGAGATTCACCTGACTCCATCTCCCAAATTTTGGGATTAAAGGTGTGTGCCACCATTACTAACCTCTAGTGGTTTTAGCTTTGCCTCTGGTCTTCAGGCACGATTTATTTATCAAAATACAAATAATATACCACTGCAAATGTGTATTTAGTATTTGCTGCTTGCCAGGCATTGGGGTAACTACTCCTCTGTGTTAAAAAGTCCATGAAAAACAAACAAAGAAACAAACAACAGAAACAAAAACAAAACCCAAACAGCTCTCACCCCAAAAGGAATAAGAAGGCGTTTATTCTGAACTCTATGAATGAACTTGCCCGAGGAGCCAGGTTCAGCCTGCTCAGAATAATGTGTTCCACAGTGGAAGGAAGTACACGAGAGAACAAAGAAGGTCATAAATCCAGGTACTTACCGAGTCCCTGGGTGGGGACCACAGATTGGAGGCGCTCCAGTAGAGTGGAGAAAATGGGGTACAGGTTTCAGATGCTGGCTAGGTATGGTGGAAACCAGTAGTCAGCTACGGATGCATTGTGAAGCTTTGCATGATTGTTTGTTCAGTGAGACACTGGTCAGAGAGGAATGGCTTAAAAACAGAGCTAAGCCAGGAGTCTGGATAGATGGCTCAGTGGTTAAGAGCACTGGTTGCTCTTCTGGATGGACCCAGGTTCAATTCCCAGCACTCACATGGCCGCTCACATCTGTCTGTAATCCCCAGTTCCAGGGGATTTGACCCTCATGCCACTGTACATAATTAAAAAAAAACAACTAAACTAAAAGTAGCTCAAGATAAATTGGTTATGACTCTGTAACATTCTATTATTATTATTATTAGCATTATTATTATTAGTTTTTTTGAGACAGGGACTCTCTGTAGCTTTGGAGCCTGTCTTGGAACTAGCTTTTGTAGATCAGGCTGGTCTTGAACTCATAGAGATCCGCCTGCCTCTGCCTTCTGAATGCTGGGATTAAAGGTGTGCACCACTACCACCCAGCCTTTTATATTACTTTTTTTCAGAATAGGGTTTCTGTGTGTAGCCCTGGCTGTCCTGGAGCACACTTTGTAAACCAGGCTGTCCTCAAAATCACAGACATCCACCTGCCTTTGCCTCCCAAGCGCTGGAATTAAAGGCATCTGCCACCACCACCTGGCATTGTTCTGGCTCTGTAACATTCTAACTCTGCATTACCAAGAGGTTCTCATCAGTCAAGAGAACTAGGTTCTCCTCAGTCAAGAGAACTGATGAGAACCAAGAGGCATGGGCTTTAGTTTCTAAATCCTTGCAACAGCACTATGACATAAGTGGTATTTCGTTCTCTGCTTACATATGAGGAAGTAATCATTGCCTCAGACACTGATCTTGTGAGAATTATGTAATGCATGTGGATCATTTGGCACGAAGCCTTGCACATGGAGCAATATTTTTTTAGACCACAAACTTTCCCTTGAATGCAGAAATCAAGGCATCTTTCAAATCCTATGGCAGAAACATCAGGTAGGTGGGTGCTCACACCATTGGTTTGAGTGTAGATTAGCCAGAGAACTTGGCAGAAGACTGGCAGAGTCTGCTAAGGCTGAAGACGTCCATACTTGGTGCCCCAGTAATTCTACTTCTAGGCACGTGCAGAAAAGCAAAGATAAGGTCAGCAGTAGTTATTAGGATAGCACTAGACTTGAACTGCTCAGATGGCATCAGCGGAATGAAGAGCTGTGGTATTTCACACACCCAACTGTGATTCAGAAAAACATACGATATGGATTTTACATCAATGTGAGCCAACAAAGCTAAAGACAGAAAGTGTACACATATCTTGTGGTATTCCATTATACAGATGTTGATGCCAACACACACACACACACACACACACACACACACACACACACACTTGGCTCAAAG